ATCTACTTAGTCACAAAGTTCTGTCAACTTTTTCTTAAATTCCCCTTTCTCTCTATGATCTGATTAAAAATCCTGATAGGGTCTCACTAGAACTCTGGAAGACCAAATATTCAAACTTTATTTTAGTTTACTAGGTTTATTTAAACACAGAACATACCCCTAAAAGGATTATTTTTAATTGTTCAAAGGAAATAATAAAAATGAGGAGCCAGACACAGAAACCAATGGAATAAAATTAAGAGCCCAGAAATAAACCCAGATGTATACGGGCAAATAAATGTTGACAAAGGAGCCAAAAACATACTGTGGAGGGGGAAATAAATGATCCTGGGAAACTTGGAAAGCCACATGCAAAAGGAAGAAACTAGATTGCTATTTGTCACCATATACAAAAAGTAACTCAAAATGGAGCAATGACCTAAATATAAAACTCAAAATAATAAATTCCATAGAAGAGACATAGGTACTAAACTTATGTACCTTAGACTTAAAGAGGACTTTATAAATTTCACCTCAAAGACAAAGGACATAATAATAAATGAATGGGACTATATCAAACTAAAAAGCTTCCACACAGCAAAAGAAACCATCAACAAAACTAAAAGGCAACCAACTGAGTGGGAGAAGATATTTGCAAACTACACTTACAATAAGAGGTTAATATTCAAAATATAAAGAAGTCATACAATTCAGTAACAAAACAATCCAGCTAAAAAAATAGGCAGTGGATCTGAATAGACACTTCTCCCAAGAAGACATATAAGAGGCCAACAGACACATGAAAAGATTTTCACCTTCACTAGCTATTAGTGAAATTCAAATCAAAATTACAGTGAGATATCCCTTCATACTTGCTGGTGGGAATTTAAACTGGTATAGCCATTGTGGAAAACAGTATGGGAGTTCCTCAAAAAAATCAAGAATAGAATTACCATATGAACCAACAACTCCTGTTATGGGTATCTACCCCAAAATTTTGAAAACATTTATTCATAAAGATATAGGTACCCTCTATTCATTGCAGCATTACTCATGGTGGCCAAGACATGGAAACAGCCAAGGTGTCCTCTGATAGACGATTGAATAAAGATTTGGTTCATATATACAATGGAATACTACTCAGCCATAAGAAAAGACAAAATACTGCCACTTGCAACAACATGGTTGGATCTTGAGAATATCATGCTAAGCAAGATAAGACAGACAGAAAAAGTCAAGATCCATATGCTTTTACTCATAAGTGGGCTATAAAACTTAAAGAAACAAATGAACAAACAAGCCAGTAAAAACTCATAAGCACAGACAATAGTATGGTGGTCACCAGAAGGAAAGATGGGTAGGGATGAGGTAGTAAAAGGTAAACGGGGTCAATACATGGTGATGAAAGGAGATTTGACTTGGATGGTGAATACACAATAAAATGTACAGATAACACGTTACAGAATTGCACACTGGTGCCCTGGCTGGTGTGGTTGAGCAATGGCCTGTGAACCAGAGAGTCACCAGTTTAATTCCCGGTCTGGATACATGCCTGGGTTGCGGTCCAGGTCCCTGGTGGGGGGGAATGAGGGGCAACTGTTTTCTCTCACACATCGATGTTTCTCTGCCTCCCCTTCTCCCTCCCTTCTCCTCTCTCTAAAAAAATTAATTAAATAAAATATTTATTAAAAAAAGAATTGTACACTGGAAACCTATATAATTCTATTAACCAATGTTACCCCAATAAATTAATAAAAAATAAATAAACAACTTTAAACAAAATATTTCTTTATCAATAAAGGCCTAAAATTCTCAATGTTGTCTTTATTTCACTTCAATCTTTCAAATTTTAATTTTCTCACTAGATTTACATAATTTCATCAGTTCTGGAAGAGGTATCTACAACAAATTTTGCAACTTGTACTGCCCTTTGTAAATCTGGGGTTTTCCACATTGTATAACAAGTGTCAACGCCATGATTCCTGTAAGCCCTCAAACCACAGCAAGATGAAGTCTTCAGTTAAAACCACTGTCTCGTAAGAAGCACAAAACAGTTAAGTCTCAGTGAAGGAAAAAGCACCTCTAAACATATTGAAATTAGGCTAAAAGTATTTTTTTAAGTGGGAAAATTTCTCTGCTGGACACATAAGAAATGCAATCAACAGTAATGTCTGATTCTGATTCCTATGGATCAGATCCTTTAGGGAAGACATTTCCCACCTGGCTAAATAGCTTCCAGAAGACAATTATAAATTAAACTATAGTTGCCCACTAAAGTGAGCAACTAAGCAAAGGTAGAGAGCAATGCAGGACAATGACACAGGTTTCAGAATGATGTTAGAAAATCAGCCCCCAGAGTTTTTCGGGCAGATCAGTGATCAAATAAGAAGTGCAAACAAAAAACCTAAAGAGTATGTGTGATACAATTTCATTTGTCTTAACTGACTTAAAAATCTTCAGATCACTTTCTGGGCCTTCTCTAAATTGACTTGTTTAAAGTATGTGACAGGAGAAATGGTAAGTGAACTCCCCAGAGGAAGCCCGGTGGCTTACTGCACATGGCAGCTGTTCTCAAATGATAGCATTCTTGAGAAGCACTTGGAGGGCTTATTACACGCACATGTCTCGGTCTCATCCCCAGAATGTCTGATTTAGTGGGTCTGGGATGGAGCCTAGGAACCTGGGAATTGATTTTTCTAACAGGTCCCTAGAGGATGCTAACGCTGTTGGTTGGGGGAACACACTTCAAGAACCACAGCACAAGGTCATTGAAGTTTTCTCAACCTAATGTTGCCTAAGCAAGCCCTTCCTACTTGTTCTAGATATGTAACACTTAAGTCTAAATCTGTGTGGGGCTCATTACCTGTTGCTGCCTAAAACACTTTAATTATATCAGTGGGCTCTCTGTACAATATAATTTATTGTCTGCAATTACTGTCATAGAATGGATTAGACTTAAGATGTGGAAAAATCCTTGGGATAATCTGTTCTAATATCTTAATTCTGAAGATGAAGAAACCAGAGTCTAGTGTTCTATTTAGTGGATCTACACAATTGTGATTTCTGATTTGAAGTTTACTGTCAACATTCCTTGAAGAATGCTCTATGAACTAAACAATTACAATAACATATTATGTTCATATACTATTAAGAAAACCTCACTGATGCTTCTTTTAACTCAACCAGAATAAATTTAAATAATGACAAGTAGAAATCACCAAGGCAGGAGTTTCTTCTGGACCAAGTGTTTTCTAGACAAAAGAATGTTAGACTCTAGGTAATGTTATATAGCCATAACTCCAAGGAAACCCTAACGACTATCTTTAATAGAGTCCACTGCTTCAATAACAATAAATGTAAGACTTACAGTTAATTTCAATGAACTGAAAATCTGTTCTTTGCTGGTAGTACTAAACATGTTCATAGTCAGGATCTCATTAAAATCTTATAACTACCCTGTAAGATAAAGAAACTAAAAACTTTTAGAAGGCTAGCAATATGTTTTCCCATGATAAAAACACAAGTTTCTTAACATTTGCCAGCACTTATTTAATTTAGCTGCTTGACAAGTTGGCACACTTATATCCTATTAAGGCCTTATGACTTCATTTTCAGGAAGCAAAAATACAAATATTCTCTTGGACAGCCAGGAAGTATAAAATTTTGTTTCCTAAGTATTTGGGAGTCCAGTTCGGATGTTCCACCCACCTTCCCCGCTTTTGGAGAAAAACACCGCCACTGCCAAGGTAGATGACTTCCTTTCCTGGAAGTATATTTAGCACATTATAACAATCTCAAATAGTTTAAACAACACTTTCTATGTTAAACAAAATCATTTTTCAGCAGAGGAAAATATAGTCTTTTATAGACATATTCTATAAACTGGTATCTAGTTAAATTTGGCTCTGGGTTCTATCGTTTCCTTATAAAGGGAAAAATAATTCACCATAAAACATCTCTTATTTTAACTAAATTCTTCACAGCAGTGATCAAAATTCATAATTGGGACTGACTCAGAAATTTGTCCAAATCCCAAAGCCAAGTCAACACCAGGAGATGCAATCAATGTGCAGTGCCAGAAAACCAGTCCAAGTTTTAACTGATAATTTACAAAGAGGCTATTCCTTTACTGAAATATACCACTCCTTTAATATCAGTAATACACCACCCTATATTTGAAAGCAATTTCAAGGCCTCTGGGGCCATAAGGAAGACTGTCTCTGCAGGCTAAATTTAAAAGACAACAAGAAACATCACTCAAGGTATATTTCAAGAAGCCTCAGTAAATTCAATGTCTATGAAATAATCTCCCAGAAGAGTTATATATGTGCTTTAAATACTTACTCCATCTTCATGAAAATAACATTTATATATAATTTGTTTTTATTGTCCTCATAATTAAATTTGGTGTCTTTATGAATTAAACAGAGAATGGAACCCTGATTTGTATCATTGAGCTCTAATAGAGAAGGGTCATCTTCCAACAATTGATCAGAAATAAGTTAAATCTGAGGTTACCAATTAGCAAAATACTTGTGCATACTTGGAAATACACACACTTTCCACAGACTCAAGCATTATGACTCCTCTTACTTCGACCTGTAGATAAATAATTTTGATTTCTTGCCTTAAATACAGAAACTGTATAACAAAGTAGTTTTCAGATTGCTTAGGGAAAGCTAATTTTTAAAAAATAGGACCTAAAAAGTACCACCCATTCATAGTGTGAGGGTTTTTCTGAAAGATCTGAACCAAATAGAAGGAGAAAGAAGTGAACTAGCTTACAAAATGTTTGTGTGATCACCTGCAACTTAACAATATACACCAAAACACGGAAAACAAAAATTCCAAAATGAACACATAGAGTTACTCAAAATGACACAAAGTCAATGTCAGCTCAGTAGCAGGGGAGCCCTATATGCTGACCAGGTCAAAGCAAGAAATTACATTATACCCCACAGAGAATGAGACATATCTTGCCCATTAAATAGAGAAATAAAGAAAACACTCTTAACACTTACAATGGTCTTCTTGCCAGTTTCATTTTCAAAACACTGATTGTCTTTATTTTGTTCAATACATGAAACATTTTCCTTTGGTCCACTGCAACCTGTAAGCTAAGAAACCAAATTTTAAAAAAAATCAATATGTACTCCTTTTCTGAAATGTGAATTAAATGTTTTTCAAATTTTTAACATGCACATTAAAATGTTTAAGAACTGAATATTATTAAATACTGCTTGTGCCAGTTCTAGAATATGAACACACTGTTTAACCCAAAAAGAAAACAGAAAATGGGACAGCTATTCAAAGGTTAGTTTATAAATTTCAAAGCTTCATCAGGGAGTGTTGAACTTGGATGATTCAAATTTAAATTGATGAACTGGTCAAAGCTGAAGCTGGATGATGGGAAGATGAAGATAGGATTGGTGGTATCTAATGTGAGTTCCCATCCTTGCAGGAATCTCCACCCTGTGGTACCCTCTAGAGCTCACATAACAAGCAGAGGCATTGAGAGAATTTGTTCTGGAATATCTTTCCAAGGATCCGTGTATAATTACAGCTTTAAATAACAGAAATAATGTTTGCTCATTGACTATTGTGTTCCCTAAACTGAGGGTTATTTTCCATTGAGTGTGAATGTATCAGTTGGCATTGCCCTGTAAGAATTAGGGCTTAAGGAACTGGTGCGAGAAAGTGCTGTCTGGTTACTGCTATTGTCGCAAATAACAAAGCTATTTGTTTTTTACCTAGGAGTCTTCTGACAGCATCCATGAAATCATGGCAGGGTTTTGGACTGCAAGAAGGGTAAAAATCCTAGACCCCTCACAGTTCTTGACAGTTACGGTGACAAGAACAGAATGTCGACAGAAGCATGGCTTTCTGGATCTTCTAGCCTCAGCTATTCCAAACAGTATAACTAACTAACTCCATTGCACTGGCTGATGGCACTTGATATGTTATCTTTCCAATATCTTTTTTCTATCTCACGGGCACTGGAGGTCCAAGGCCAATTTTTATTCACATGGCAAGGCTTCCAGTAAGTTTAAACTCCTCTGCAATCTGCCATAAAGATTTAGCGTGAGTGGCTTTACTTTCTGATGTTCAAAGTTGTTGCTATATTGATGATGCCCTGTAGTTGGCAAATTAGAAGACTCAGCCTGCAGGGTGGATAATAAACTGACAGAATTTAGGGGCAATCTGGGCAAATTCCCTCAGCTGTCAAGAAAAAAAAGCGCTGTTTATTTTTTAAGTCTCAACCTCAACAAAGGGGTTGAGTACCACACTGGATTCTAAATACTGAAAAGAATATGGTCTTCCTTGGACATTTTACCCAGTTTGTTGTCAGCTAATGCACAAATCATCCTTAAAGTGGGGTCCAAATCAACAGGCTATACTGGAAGCTCTCAGCAAGCTCTGGCACACTCTCTGCAAAGTATTGCAGCACCACAGCATTAATGAGTCCTCTGAGCTCATTAATGAGCCTTGATCAGTAAGACAGATTGATTGGAACCTCTGGCAGAGAGGCAGCCTCCACCCCAAATCCCCTGAAGCAAAGCCCCTGGCTCAGTGGGGTCCTCCGTTCACAGAGGTTTACACTAAATGCCTTGGCTTGCTTCACTAATGGTTTAGCTAAACTGAAACCAGTTGTTTCCACTGGGCTGCTGTGTCCAGCTATGCAGAGCTGGAAATGGATGTGGTTCCTCCATTCAGGGAGCAGAAGTCAAGGTTGTTCTCACAGCTCTAGACAGTATTCCACCAGAATCTCAATACCATGACTGGCTTTCTATGCTTTTATAGTCCCACTATTTTTCCATCTTCTGTTAACATCCAATCAATTTGGCTCTCAGAGAAATAATAATTTTATTGTATATTTCTATACTTCATATTTTTAAAAATAAATACCCTTGCATTTTCTTGCTCCAAAAATACCAATCTATCTCCAACTTTCTTCACAGAATCAATATTCTTGAAAGACATAGTAGCTGTAACAGTAACAATACAATAGAATAATTTAATGAAAAGTCATAATAAGCTAGATGCTTTGAGGATATGGGTAGTTTATATCCATTTATCTTATTTAAATTGAAACAGAAACCTGTGAAGTAAGTAACCTGTCATCCTTTTTCCTAGACAAAAAAAACAGAAATCTCGTTCTGTCTGAACACTAAGTCTACGCACATATCCACTACCCTAAACTCCTGCTCCACCTCCCTACTGCTCACTTATCCTTCGTCCTTTCAAGCTGTGGTTCCCCAGACTAACACCATCAGCGTTACCCGGACACTTGTTTTGGTAAAACAAATTCTTGGGCCTCGCCCCTGACCTACTGTACCCAAAACTGTGGGAGTGGGGACCTGCAATCTGTGTTTCTTGTGTGATACACATCTGAGTTTGAAAGCCACTAATCTAGATGTCAAAATGTCAAATGATTTCCAGTGCTTAAAATAAGTAAAGTGAGCCAGGTGTAAGAAGTCCTTAAGAAGACATGGATGATGCTCGGCAAAACGGAGAGGTTGTGCCCCACCTAGTAGTAAATTTAGCCTCTAGTCATTACCAAACATTTCTGTTGCAATGAGAAAACCCAAATTCAATGTTGCCAGATGTTTACGATGTTCTAAAGAACTTGGAAGTGTGAACTTTTACGTAAAATACCTTGATTTTTAAATGTTGATAAAAAGTGTATATATATTTTAAAAATACCACGTGAGCTAACACAATAGATCAAACAAAATAAGGACTTCAGCTGGAGACTGCATAAGGACAGCCAGTTTGCAAATTCCACTTCTATCCCTGGATGCTGCCAATGTTTTCTGAGTATGGATGGCCCTCCTAGTCCTCACTGTCTTCCTTTTTCCCCTGACATTTAATATCATTAACTACTTCCTCTTTCTTGAAACTGTTATCTCTGTATTCGGAAACATCTCTGTCCTAGTTGACAGCCTATTTTAGGATGATTGATTGCTCCTCCTTTTATTTCTTCTTCCTCCTTGTAGCACCTGAGCTCAGCTGTTTCTCCAAAATTCCTTTCCTCTATCACTTCTCTAAATATTCACTCCCAGATGACTCTCAAATCTACAGAATCTTTCCTCCAATTTCTTGTCTTACATTTTCAATTGCTTGCTTGTATTTCCTCTAAAAATCACATTGGTACCTCAAATCTGCTCATCTAAATGAAGTCATTTTCTCTCAGAACCCAATTCTACTTTTGGGTTCCCCATTTCTGTCATTGCCCAGTATTTTAAGGATTATACATTTGCACCCTTCCTCCCCAATCCCGTACTAATCCTCTCTCTTTTTTCAGCTAGACAGGGAGCTCTCATTTCTGATACACTCGGGATACACACTTCTGGTTTACATTTTTAATAATGATTAGTCCACCCATTTTTAAAGAACAACTTAGGATATAAACAAAAGGAGAAATGAATTTAGGATTATTTTTGTCTTACTCACTCAAGTAGATTTTTAAGTTCTTTGATGAAAATCTGTATCCTTCATGTGCCTCAACAAAATAAATGTGCACTGATATTTACTAAATTACTTAATTATAGTGCTTATACAGGTATATTCTAGATTACAGAATGTCCTGATAAACATTTACCAACTTTACTTTTAACTGATTCATCTTTTATATATACATCAGAAAAGTTTTCCATTTAAAAGAATCTTTAGCCTTTTTTAAATTTGTAACTCTTCTTGTAAGATAAATAAGCACTCACCTGATTTAACTGTTTTATAGCTTTATTGTTGGGGGGTCTTAACTTATTTTATTTGTTTATTTATTTATACTATTTTTCCCCGACCTGGAATTATTTTCTTTGAAACCAATTGTTAGTACTGGTGAGCATCATGCACAAAATCTGTGTCAGGGATCAAAAGCCTTATAAACTCCAAAAAGTAAGTCGAGTGAGCCCCGTGATGCAGCCACAGGGAAGCGCCACCCCTTCGAATCCTCTGTGAATGTGAACTGTACAGATTAGCCAGAGGCATATCCCAGCTGTGCTCTGGAGTTGTCCAAACCTATTAATATTTTCTGGCTTTTATATTTATAAAGCACCTAGTTCTACTTCACTTTGCAATACCTTCTTCAGATAAAAGCAACATTGCAAACCTCAGAACTGAGAGGTCAAATACTCCTTCATGTTACAGGAAATAAGCAGCTGCTTTACATGCTCTCCCTTGGCACTACAAGCTGATGAATTTAAACTAAGCTGTTTTCTTTTGCTGAGAGAAGAATAAACTCCATTATTAGATATATCCTGAAGATAAAGGCCTGGGGATTTTTTAAAGCTGCAGAAGGAAACAAAGTAGGCACTCCCTGAGAGCTTAAGAGAGTACCAGTTTTCAAGAAAGGCCCTCAGCCTATTTATTGAATTAACTAACTTTCGTCAAATTCTATTACATGGGGTCCATATACAACAGAAACGACACATTTAATGTAGAAACTAAAAGATATATACAGATGTCACTATAAAATCAGTGTGAAGTGCCATGAGTGTCATAAAAGAAGGGGAGACAAAATACTCTGGAAATTCAAGAGGATCGGTTCAATAAACATTTCACTAATGCTACCTCTGCCAGGCCATTAAGGAACTTAGCGTTAATTAGGTGAGACAACTGTATAAAGTGAGCACTTGAAGTCAAGTTTGAAATAAAGAAACATACAAAAAAACTGCCCTGGCTAGCCAGTTGGGACATTAGCAAAGCGACAGGACAATAAAACAGAACAAGGTAATTGGAGAACGGCATTTATCTAGCATTGCTCAGCCATGAGTCAAGGAGTTTAAAAAAATAAAATAGAAAAGGTAATCAGCAGAAACCTAGTTTAGGAGTGTCTTAGATGTTAAGCGAAATCATTTAGATTTTCCTATGGGAAATAGGGAAAAGAAGGGCTGAGGGGAGATATAATAGGAAAATAGTAAAAGAATCAAAAGGGAGAAACATTTAAAAAGTTAAGATCACACAGACATATTAGCCTTTTTGTTGTTTATATTATTTCCTTGACATTAAAATGCATTTTGAAATCATTTCAGACTGACAAAATGTTGCAGAAATAGGACAAGGAATATGATGTTTCCCTCACACACATTTCTAAAATGGTAACATTGTAAAGAAC